AGGGATACATTCATATGTGGGTTTCACCAAAACGTGGCCCAACCAATATTCTCTTGGGGGTTATAAATTTAATAGAATACAAAATTTTCTTTTCTGACCACACATTAGATGTGAAAGTGGACTTGGGGATACCCCAATGGGGGACTTCACTTAAATAAATTTCTATGTGGCAGTTATCTGTATGATGGTTCCTTACCCTAGGGTAGCATAAAAAAATTGTTAGCCAAATCAGTTGATGAAGGTGGTCAAGACCGAAATTACCCCTACTCTGAAAATTTCAAATTTTATGCGAAGAGGTTCTCCACCCCCTTAGAAACAAAGATGCCAAATGAGGGCCAAAATATGAAAAAAGTGACCTAGACGCCTAAAATAGCTTAAATCATACGATGGTTATATAAATATGAAATCGGGTTGTACCCTTATCCGTGAGTTATTATCGATATCATGACCTGCAAAAGCGATTTAAGGTATCTTAAATGTTTGGAAAGAATTTCTGGAAGGATAGAAATCCTTTTCTTACTAAAAGTCCCATTCGCTCTACTATTTTGGTATTTTACTGATTGTACTAACAAAGAATTTTGCATTTTGAGCTCTAATTGGACGGATCATTGTCACATGAAAGAAGTAGGTCCACGCTTTGAAATGAGCCCCATTAGACTTTTTCGGTCATTTTTGTTTGTTTAAATGTGTTCGCATCTTCCAGCTGAACTACGATGTAGGCCCTGGGGTTGAAGGGTAGATGTCAGTTAACATCCTATTTCGCACTTATTTTTTTTTTTTATTTTTTTTTTTGTGTTTGTGAAAAATTGTATATAGTGAAAAACTATTTTTTAGTTTGTTCACAAAAAAATTCACTGCATTCAATATAATAATACAAATTGAAAAAAATTGACAAAAGAAGAATAACAAATTGAAAAAATCTTCAACTTGTTCGCTGATTTTTTACAGCAAATGTTTAAAGATCCTTACAATGTTTGTCAATAGAATGCACTATTATTTTAAAATTCGATTCCATTGAAAATTATTTTTCGATTTTTTCCCGATTTTAAAATTTTTGCAATGAGACCTCTTTTTTGTGATTTTTTTAGAGATTTTGAAAACGTAATTATATTTTAACTTTGGCGCGATCGCGTTAAATTATTTCGATATTATCTATTCCGTTTCGCCGCCACACATTTCGGTACTATACTTCCATGTAACCCGCCATCAATTTCAGTTCTCAAGAAATGAAATCAATTAAATAAATTGGCATTAATATTCAAATTCAAAAATAAAATATACAAAACACTACAAATGTACATTAGAAAAAAATAAGTCAAAGTTGAAAAAAATCATGCAAAATAAAACATTACTAATGTACATTTCAAAAGTCAAAATGAAAATGTTAATATATCACATTTTTACGCGTTTTTTTTTTTTTTTTTTTTTTTGGATGTTATCCTTTTCCAAATTTGTCTGAATCGTTAAAATAAGTCCAGCGGTTTTTAAGTTATAAGCATAGTAACTAACACAACATTCTTTTATATATATATATATATATATATATATATATATATATATATATTGTATATTTTGTGCTAAATATACAATATCTTGGATATTAGCATATATGTAACGGTCAATGGTGTTTTTGTGGTTTCGCTGATATTAAAATATATTCGCACCATAATGGAATTTTTATACCCTCCACCATGTATGGAGGGTATATTAAGTTTATCATTCCGTTTGTAACACCTCGAAACATACATTTTAAACCCCACAAAGCATATATATTCCTGATCAGCATAAAATTCTATGTCGATTTAGCGATGTCCGTCCGTCTATACGTCTAACCGTCTGTGGAAATCACGCTAGTTTCCGAACGAAATGAAGTAAGTTGATAAAATTTGGTACCTCCCGATACTCGGTATTTTGATGATTATAACCACATCATTCACCGGAATTGTTTCAAATTTGATATTTGAATTTCATAATTGCTACTACAGGCTATGACAGAAAATTGTCTCTGCAAGTCCACGTTTTGATATAGCCCCCATATGGGTATTTTGATGATTTTAGCTACATTTTTCTCCGATTTTTTCAAGTTTCGCATTTGAATATTGTAATGGCTTATGACAAAAGTTGCATATGCAGAACCACGTCGTCGTATACATACGGCTACATTCGGTATGTTTAAGATTTTTAAACGGATTATATTTATTTATTTATTTATTTTTGTCTGTGCGGGTCCACGTTTTCGTATATCCCCCATATAACGGTACCTCCCGATACTCGGAATTTTGATGATTATAACGACATTATTCACCGGCATTGTATCAAATTTGATATTTGAATTTCGTAATGAATACTACAGGCTATGACAGAAAATTGTCTGTGCAAGTCCACGTTTTGATAAAGCCCCCATATGGGTATTTTGATGATTTTAGCTCAATTTTTTCCGATTTTTTCAAGTTTCGCATTTGAATATTTTAATGGCTTATAACAAAAGTTGCAAATGCAGAACCACGTCGTCGTATACATACGGCTACATTCGGTATTTTTAAACGGATATATTTATTTACTTATTTTTATTAATTTTTTTTTTTTTGAAAATTGCCGATGTCGTTCCTAATGGTAGAGGGTATTGTAAGTTCGGCCCAGCCGAATTTTTAGTTTTTTTTACTTGTTTTATATAAAATTATTATATATTTTTCCCTCTAAGTATTTTTCTACCATTTAAACCACCATTTAAATTGGTAGGATTGGTAGGATCAGCCCCAAACTCTTACCCCATTCAAAATTCCAAGTCGATTCTTCTGTAATCGTGACCTCTAGAACAACTTCTAAATCAAGAAAATTTAATTTTTTCAATTTTAACCCACAAATATTTAAACTTTTGTGATTACAACTGAACATGGACAGATGGGCACACATTGCGTTTCGAGGTGTTACACAATTTTTGGCCTAATCAAACTTATAATAACCCCAACACATAGTGTTGTAGGATATAAATATTAAACTCTTCAGAATTCTAATAATTAGACTATTCCAAGACCTGAAACATCAATGAAAATATTATAAGAGGGAGTTCACTTACATTTTATGTATCAAAATGTCGCCAAAAATCACTTCAATCGGACAATATTGCTTACACAATTTATGCCAAAATGTGAATCTATGGTAATGAATCTATATTAATGAAATAACCTTTTCGGTAAGAAATTGGGGCAGCACGTCCTGGTTCATTGGAGCCATGAACAATCGCAAACTTATGTTTACCATTTTTTGCAGAGAAGTTTAAAACGCCGGATTGCAAAAATAGCTTTAAATCTAAATATTGAAATATTACTCAATCAGGAGATACTTGGGGATATTATAGCCCATATTATACACCAAACAATCCATGTAGGTTAAAATTCCGGAAAATTATTTTATGCGACTTGTGACAGCGACTGTGCCCCATCCGTTTAAATTAAAGTTAAATTATAGGCCAAATTGAAGATGATTGACAGTGTCAGGTGCAACCATATTTGTTACAATGAGTTGCGATTTAAACCTGCTCATACCACTGTGCCACAGAAAAATTTTTATCTCAAATAGTTTGCTATATACTCGCAAAATTTATGATAAAGCTTTATATTTAATAAAGGCGTATGGATTACATGTAGAATCATTTGCTGAAAATGCAGGTTATATCGATCCATATCTTAGCACAGTCACCATAGTCTCATTTTAGGCAAATTTTTCATAATATTGGCTTGGAATTGTGGAAACATATTTTAAAAACTATCTGTAAAAATCATCTGAAATATATACTGATGTTCAAAATTATCCGTAAGAAGGTTTTCTATCCCTCAATTAGCCTAAATGCAGCTTAGCCCAATCGATTGGAAAATGTTGGCAAGACCCTTGTAGTAGGTAACTTGAGGAGGGTCTTTTATATGTGCGCAAATAAGAGACATTGACCTTCATTAAAATTTTTTGAGGTTTTCTACCCCCTTAGACCCCCCAATTAAGGCCAATTGAAAAATTTGGCCAAAGCCCTGAAAAGATATGAAATCAGGAGATGAGGATTACACCAACATGTGGGACTATATTGATAATTTTTTGTAAATCTCTTCTCATTAAAAACTCAAATGACCAAAATTAGCTGAAATTAGTATAAATAAGTAAAAAAGCATTGACAGAATACCCTCCAGCATACGAATAGATTTTACAAATTGAAAAAAACCGTTGAAGAATTCAAAAATAATAACAAGTAAAAAGCAAAAAATTCAAAAAACTAGCGGAATCTACCACTTAAATGAAAAATGTTATATGAAGACTATACGAAGACGTGGACCTGCATACAAAAATATTTGTCATTGGCTGTAGCACCCATTAAGTCCTTGAAATGCATGGTTAATTTTCTGTCACAAGTTGTAGTATCCGTTACTTATTTACAAAACGAAATTTGAAGCAATTCCCGTGGATAATTTCGCTAAATCCACAAGATATATAAGAATACCTGGACCTGTATATGCAATTTTCTGTCATACCCTGTAGTACCCATTAGGAATTTCAAATTCAAATATCAAATATTTCCATCGAAAACCCCGAATATCTTGATATACAGTTATATGGGATTTATACCAAAACGAGGACCTACATTGCCTTTTTTCAATATCAAAAGTCATGCAGACCAAACACATATCTGAACAATTTTTTTTCTTATTTTTTAGCTCACATTTCTTCGTTCGGAAGCATATTTCGAGGTTTTACAAACGGATATGGCTAAAATATACAAAAATGCGTGGAAAAATTAATAGTTATTGTTTGCAGTAACCATGACCTTGATAAAATTATAAAAAATCCGATTTAAAATAAATTTTTTATTTGAAGTTATATGAATCCTAGTCTTACTGTCTAACTGTTCACAGGCGCAGAAAAGACTTCACTTTCTTCACAAAAAAAAACAACTAGAATGTTTTTTTTTTTTCGATTAAATTTCAACAATTTATTTACCTAAAAAATTAACAACAATAGTCATACCTAAACATGCCATTTGTTCTGACATGCTTCTATAACACAGAGTTCTTAGTGACGGAAGATGGAAGCGGGCAAGTAGCTAGCACCAGGAGCAGAAGCAGCGGGAGCAGCAGCGGCGGGAGCTTGGGAAGCAAAGTTGAGGACTGGAGCAACACCTCCATTGATGCTGTGAGAAGGACCTCCCAAAGAATCGTATTGACCTTGGATAGCACGTTGAGCGTTGGCAGCATCTTCAGGAGTACGGTATTTGACGAAGTGAACCTCGGGTTTGTTGTTGTTGCCGGTGTTGAGGTTGTTAAGTTTGTTGGCCAAATCACCGAGATCGGCTTGCTTGTTGAGAACATAGATGGCGGTTTCTTGTTGACCAGCTTGTTTGGCCAAAGCCAAGGCAGCATCTTCCAAACCACTGTTTTCGGGGCCCTTGATGAAGATGACACGGAGACCTTGTTTCACAGAGTTGGCCAATTGGTCGGCGCTGGCGGGTTCATTGAAATCAGCATCATTAGCTGTGTAGGTGTAGAATTCCTTTTCGAGTTCAGCTTGAGGAGCAACTTGAGCTGGTGAGGTGAATGAAGGTTGACCTTGGAAGGAACCAGCACCGCCATCATAACTAGGACCAACATTGGAGGCAGAACCACTTGGTGCAAAGGATGATCCGGAGCTGTAGCTGGGAGCAGCATTGGAGGCAGCACCACCTGGTGTGAAAGATAATCCGGAGGAGGAGTGACCAACTGGTTGATAGTTGTAACCCAACTTATCGGCACAGGCAACAGCCACCAAACACAAAACAATGAAGGCGCGCATTTTAGATTTGTAGTTGATTGAAGATGTTTTCGTTTAAATATAACCTCTCATTGGCCGCTGCGGCTTCTTTTATATGATCAAAGTCGTGTATGACTGCTAGACTTTAAACTAAACGGAATATGAATTTATGAATAAATATAGGAAACATATTTCGGAAGTTAGCATCAAATTATGTTTTTTCATCAGCATTTTTTGATTAAAAATTATGCAAATATCTTAAACTGCTGATTTTTTACCACATAGAATGGAATGTACATTTACGTTTTGTAGGGGATTTCATTTCATATTCGATTTGAAAGAATTTGTTATTAATTAAAAAACTATGTTTATTTAAATTTTAACATCAACTTTATAAAAGCAGAAAGATTGTAGCCACAATTTACACAATTTTTTAAAAGACTTCCAGTTTTCAAATGGAATGTTGAAGTTTTCCATTACAACAAAATGTGCTGATTTGAGCTTGGGAAAGTAACACTTTTAAAAACATGTCCACAAGTGACGAAGACAATTTGCTATTTTGGGGAACGGTTCCTATGAGGAATATATATATATACCAAATTTCAAAAAATTATATTAAAATGCTGCTAGAATCATCAGAATACTAATATCTGGAGTTTCTGTTGTATGGCTACAAAAAAAACGTTGATCTGTTTAGCTATAGAAAAATGTGGACTTACACAAAAATTCTCTTGCTGTGTTAGTAGTGCATATTACAAGCTCTAAATAAAAGAATTAAAAATAATACTGAATATCGAGAGGCGCTATAAAAATATGGATCTATATAAAAACTTTTCTGCCGGAGAAAATAGTGGCCATTAGTAAGGCCCAAAAATTTAACTGCTATATTGAAAAATTTTGCAATTATCACCAAATCAATCACTAAAGCTACTATGTGGTGGAGGATATAAGAACTAATGTAGGTTATGTGCCAAGTCACCAAAACGCACAAAGAACATACATTGTTGAGATACACTGGATACAGTGCCCGAAGAGGATAAAACTTTATGTGCTTTATGAAAAATTGTGATATTCCACGTTGTTGTTGTAGCAGTAGTACATGTGTGTGTTTGTGTTCTGCTAATCTGGTTCCAGCTCCAGGTTTAGAAATTCGGCTACTTTAACGGGCTGTAGCCAGAGATCCTCTGGAGTGAGTTGGGTAGGTTTGGCTGAGCAATTAAAAAGGTGTAGCGTATTGTGCGGGCCGGGCAGGCGTCACGCACATCTTCATCAATTCGTGCCCAATACGAATTGAGGCGACTACACCATCCTGAACGTAATTGCGCCAAAACTACCCTGGTTTGTCTAGGCAGCTGACGTTCTTCGGCTGCAATGGATGGGGGGTGGACTCCGAGGACGGCATTCACTTTATAACTGCTAATAGCATCCGCGACTGCATCGGTGTGAATGCCACTTAGACCTGCCTGATAGGTTTCTTGATCTAGAGGCTCTCTCTTGTAGCGCTGGACCTCCCTCTCTTGATCATGTATGTTCTTCCTGACACGCCTGGGTGGGAGAGAGTTATCCACCATATGATGGTTGGGATGACTCTCACGGTAACACCCAAGCAGGTACTGCAACGAAAGCATATGATTATGCTGACGTAAGGGAAGGACTTTCGCCTCCTCATGTAGATGGTCCACTGGTGTCATGAGGAGGCACCCTGTCGCAGTTCTCAGGGCAGCGTTCTGGCAGGTCTGGATATTCTTCCACTGCGTAGCACTAGTATTCGCAGACCACACTGGAGCCGCATAGTTGACCACAGACCGACCTATCGCGTTATAAGAGGTCAACAAGGTTTCTTTGTCCGCACCCCAAGAGCTGCCGGCTAGCGCCTTGAGGACCTTGTTCCTACTTTTCATCTTGTCGCAGATAGCTGTGGCTTGCGCGGACGACTTGAACATGCTGTCGAACGTTACCCCAAGAATCTTGGGGTAGTTCGTGGTCGGTATTAGATTCCCCTCGACCTGAACATTCAGCTGTGTTCTCATCTCCGTAGACCATGTGGTAAAGAGTGTGGCCGTTGATTTCGTGGCGGATATTTTCATATTCCTCGCGTGGAAGTATGCGGCAAGCTCCGCGAGATAGGGGTTCAACTCTTCGCATATGTCATCGACCACTGGACCCGACGCCATGATCGTACAATCATCCGCATACGTTACGATCTCAATGCCGTCTGGAGGGCGAGGAATTCCGGAAAGGTAGAGGTTAAACAGTTCCGGAGATATCACCCCGCCTTGGGGAACTCCCTGTTTGGCTTTGGACTTCTTGTTCCGGAATTCCACGTACGATTGGCGTCCACACATATAGTTGATTATCCAACGTTTCAAACTTGGCCGGAGGGTAGTTCTCTGTACGTCCTCAAACAGTGTGGCATGATTGACCGTATCAAATGCCTTTGATAGGTCAAGGGCTACCAACACTGTTCTGTCACACGGCCTGTTCTGGTTCAGTTCTCTACTAATATGTGTGGAAATGGCGTGTAATGCTGTTGTGGTACTATGTTGTGGACGGAATCCATGCTGGTGGTTGGCAACTGTATAGCTTCCTCTAATGCTGGGGAGGAGTAAAGCCTCAAGTGTCTTTGCTACTGGCGACAAAAGCGAAATCGGCCTGTACGATTCGCCTTTACTGGCATCCTTGCCTGGCTTCAGTAGCGGGACCACCCGGCCAATTTTCCAGGTTTCGGGCACTATGTGGGTGGCTAGCGACAAATTGAGAACTTTCGTTAAGTACTCGACTCCCGGCGTATCCAGCTGCTTCAAAATTACCATTGAGATTCCGTCCGGGCCCAACGCTTTGGATGACTTAGCGTTACGGATGACATTTGCAACATCACCCATCGTAAACTGTGGTGGTTCCTCCTCGGCGGGAAGAGATCTGATACGACGTAGTACACTTCTCTTCGCCCTATCGCTCTCGGGGTGCTCGACAAATTGTCGGTTAAAATATTCCGCGCACCTCTTCGGATCAGTCACCGTTACGTCGTTAAAAGTGACTGAGGTCCTATCATCCTTTTTTCCAGGGTTCGAGAGCGACTTAACCGTTACCCACAGCTTACTCATATCGGTTCCAATGTTGCAGCACTTCAGATGGTCTAGCCACTTTTTCCTCTTATGCTCCTGTACCAACCGGTTGACTTCCACTGTCAAATCACTGATTCTAGGATCAGTAGGGTTGGTACGACGGAGATCATCACGCTCGTTTGCTAATCCCGCTGCCTCTGCTGGGAAGTTTGGTCTTATCTCGGGTATTCGACCAGCAGGTATATAGCGAGCGGCTGCAGCTCTGATGATGTTTCGGAAAATCCTTTCTGCTACCCGAACATCAGAAGGGTTGGGCAGTTCTCTGAAGCGGCGGTGAGCTTTCCCATGGTTAAGGAAAGTGCGGCGTTCAGAGGTTATGAAATCGGGCGACCTGCTTATGGAGACGATTATCGGGAGATGGTCTGAGCCAAGAGAAATGACGGGTTGCCAAGTCACGTCATTTATCAGACCGGGTGACACTATGGTTAAGTCTGGCGAACTGTGACACTCTCCTCTTATTCGGGTGGGGGCATCCTTGTTAACCGTGCAGAATGTGGAGCAGTCAATCTGCTCTGCCAGCGCTGATCCCCTCGGGTCATTACCTAGGACGGAATGCCACAACTCATGGTGGGCATTAAAATCCCCTAGTACCAGGCGGTTATTGCCTACCAATAATGGGCTAATATCAGGCAAATAACGCGGTTCACAGCTATTAATCGGCGGGATATACACATTAAGCACCTCTACCTCGGCAGTTCCACACTTGACTGCTACCCCCATACATTCCATGTATGGGTCACTAGAGACTAGCTCAAGCGAGATAGGTCTGTACTGAACAGAATGGTGTAACAGGAACGCTAATCCCCCACCTCCACTTCTGGTGCGATCCTTCCTTAGTACGTTGTAACCATAACAACGTTGTAGGCTGCAATTTTCATTCAGCTTGGTTTCCTGCACCGCTGCGATCTTAATATTCCTCCGACTCATAAATTCCACTATCTCATCTATTTTGCCTCGAAGTCCGTTGCAATTGAATTGCAAGAATGATGCACAATCCGGAGTTGGAACAGCAACATGTGGCGTTAGGTGCTGCGGTGTTGGTTGCAGTTCTGGAGACTGCGGTGGAGTGCCATACTCCGACGACGTCTCTGACGAGGACGACGAAGAAGAGGACTCGCTGGGGACTACGTTACTGCAGCAAGTCGCAACATAATCCCTTTCGCTGTAGTCTCGCAAACGCCTTAATCCGGAACAGTTCTTGAAGTGCACCCACTCTCTGCATCCATTACATCGCACCGAGACAGATCTGTGGTGGATGACGTTCTGACAAACCGAGCAGAACCAAGGTCCGGGGTTTTCCTCAATCCCGGCACGGACCAATAAAATCCGGAGCAAGCATTCCGGGATATGCTGCTCCCAATGCAGAAAAATAAACAAACACAAACGTAATGACTGTCGGTGTCACAGTGTGGACAAGCCCGATAAGAAAACACAAGGGTCCTGGTTTGTAGAAACAAAAAATAAAAAGAGAATACATTAAAGAACAATTAATATTCGTTGGCTTAACTACCGCCAAGAAGATATTCAGTTCAAGCCCTGCATTACCTGGTGGTAGTATGGTAAGTTCTAACTTCCTATGTGATTTTTGATTCAAAGAATAAGATTTTGTCATTATTCCTCTTCACCTTGGGAAGGAGTTTATATCAACTTTGTCATTCCGTTTGTAACATCCCTAAATATTCATCGTAGAACCCAAAAAGTACATATATTTCTAATCAGCATAAAATATATATAGGTACCTCCCGATATTCGGTATTTTGATGTTTTTTGCTACATTTTTTTGCGGATTTGTCTAAAAATTGATATTTGTGAGTCACGCTTGGTTCTAGCTCCGGTGGCGAGACATTGTTTGCCTAGGTTCACGTTTTTGTATGGGCCCATATAACGGTACTTCCCGATATTCTGTATTTAGATGATTTTTACCACATTTTACAAGGAATTTGTCTTAAAATTGGTTTTTGTAGGCTACAATGGGCTCTAGCTTGTGTGACGAAACATAGTATGTATAGGTCCCCGTTTTGATATAGCCCCCATATAATGGTACTTCTCGATATTGCGTATTATGATGATTTTTGCCACATTTTCCAAGGAATTTGTATAAAAATTGGTATTTTTGGGTCATAATGGGTTCTAGAAAACATTATATGCATAGGTCCACGTTTTTGTGTAGTCCCATACAACGGTACCTCCCGATATTCGGTTTATTGATTTTTGCCGCATTTCCCACGAATTTGTCCAGAAATGGATAATATCTCGTTTGGCGAAATTTTGAAAGTGTAGGTCCACGTTTTGGTATAGCCCCCCATATATAGGTACCTACCTGCCTCAGTCCCAATCTCAAACTTCATGTTAAATTACGTGTCGATTGTTGTTAAATTGTTATCTTTAGAATTGTTGGCCCATTTCAATCCCTAAATATTGGCGGTCACTCTTGAAAATGCAAAATTCCGCGTCAACTACAAATTCAGGTATTGTCAAGTTGTTGGTCCGTTTCAACTCCTAACTGCTATCATATCCGAAAATATAGCCCTATCGCAATGCGAACTTTTGTGAGTATTGGGCTTATAGCGTGGTTACAAATTACCATGGACAGACGGACGGGCATACATAGCTATATTGACTCAGTTAGGCGAGATAGGAAGATCCATATATAACATCCTATGGTTAGAACCAATATTTCGAGGTGTTTGGTCCAATCAAACTTATAATAGCCCACGCACATATTGTTGTAAGGTATAAATATGTGGATAAATGAACATTCGGACGGGCGGACGGACGGACGGACATGTATAAATCGACTTAAATTGTGATTCGATGGATATCGCCAAGAGCAACTATAAGTATATTACATTGTTGGGAAAGGTATAAAACCAGAAAAGAAGGAAATCAAGTTTATTAATATCCTTCACCATATAGAAAAATGTTTAATTTCAAAAAAAAAAAAAACAAAAAATAAAAAAAAAACAAGTAAGCAAAGGCTATAGTCGTACGGGGCCGACTATGTTATACCCTACAACACTACAATATGTTACAAGCCCCCTTTCCAAAATATTCCCAACACAATAGTCCAACGGATTGGTATCCTTAACCATTCTTGGTGGCGCGTGTTGAGTCCTGTTGAAATATCCAAGGTCTGCGGCTAAAATGTTTGAGTGCCCAAAGCTTTAATACACCCTCCAGAATATTTTCGCATTTATTCTGATGCCACGGTCGATTAATACGAGCAGAGAGCGACCATCGGCTGTTATGGCGGCCCACACCATCACCATGGCCGGATCTTGAGTTCTGGTAGCCTCTTTAGCAAGTAAACGCGATCATTTTGTTTCTTTACAAACTGCTGGACAACGAATGTTTTCTTATCGGAGATAACCAAATTCGGCAGTTCACCACTTTCGGCCAAGCGAAACAACTCTTTAGTTCTTTTGAGTCTATTTTCTTTCTGTTGCGGTGTAAGGTCTTGAACTTTTTGGAATTTCAATTGATTTAGCCCGAGCTCATTTTTCTATTTTTGCCGAATGGAATATTGCGATATGTTCAGCTCATGAGCTATTTTTCGGCCACTGCGACGCAGGTTTCGATCAAGTCGCTTTTTTTCCTTTTCGAACCATTTCTGCTGATGTTTCTGTTTTCTTCCGTCCACTTCCTTGACGTCGGGCTACGCTACCAGTATCAAGGTAACGAGCGATGGTACGAGACACATAAGATTTATTCACATTTAAATGCTGGAGTGCTCTAACGATATCCACTTGTGGTTTTCCAGCCAAATATAAAGAAATAACACTATTTTTCTAGAAAATTCTCACTAAAATGTTTTTGTACGTTTGGAATAATTTTAACAGCTGTCGGACAAGTGGCTTAGAAATGACAGCAGTCTGAAGTTGGTTGCAGTTTTTTTCATCTCACTCTGTACACCCTCCAGATTATTTTCGGGATAATATGCGGCATTTATTCTGATGCCACAGCCGATTAATACGAGCGGAAAGCGACCATCGGCTCACCCTGTATCTGTTAATAAGAACTATTATATGCAACAAGTTGTTTTTTCTATTTAATTAATATTTTTTCTTCTTTTTGAATTGAGTTCCTTCATAAAAAAAATTTTCAAAAAAAAATTAGACAGCTGGTAACTCTTCTTTAACCTTTCATTGCACCATGAACAAAATGACAAAAACTTTTCCTATGCATACTTACTAGATGTAGAAGAAAATTCAGCACTTATTTCATATGTTTACGGTTTTAATATCAACAATTTATTAACCTACACATTTATCAACAACAGAATTTATAATTAAACATATCAGTCTTTCAGATATGCAACTATAACAATGCCTTCTTAGTGACGGAAGATAGAAGCGGGCAAGTAGCTAGCACCAGGAGCAGAAGCAGCGGGAGCAGCAGCGGCGGGAGCTTGGGAAGCAAAGTTGAGGACTGGAGCAACACCACCATTGATGCTGTGAGATGGTCCACCCAAAGAATCGTATTGACCTTGGATAGCACGTTGAGCGTTGGCAGCATCTTCAGGAGTACGGTATTTGACGAAGTGAACCTCGGGTTTGTTGTTGTTGCCGGTGTTGAGGTTGTTAAGTTTGTTGGCCAAATCACCGAGATCGGCTTGCTTGTTGAGAACATAGATGGCGGTTTGTTGTTGGGCAGCTTGTTTGGCCAAAGCCAAGGCGGCATCTTCCAAGCCATTGTTTTCGGGGCCCTTGATGAAGATGACACGTAGACCTTGTTTCACAGCATTGGCCAATTGGTCGGAGCTGGCGGGTTCATTGAAGTCAGCATCATTAGCTGTGTAGGTGAAGAATTCCTTTTCGAGTTCAGCTTGAGGAGCAACTTGAGCTGGTGAGGTGAATGAAGGTTGACCTTGGAAGGAACCAGCACCGTTACCGTAACTGGGAGCAGCATTGGAAGCAGAACCACTTGGAACAAAGGATGATCCGGAGCTGTAGCTGGGGGCAGCATTGGAGGCAGCACCACCTGGTGTGAAGGACAATCCGGAGGAAGAGTGACCAACTGGTTGATAATTGTAACCCAACTTATCGGCACAGGCAACTGCCACCAAACACAAAACAATGAAGGCACGCATTGTTGATTCTTTGTAGTTGATTGAAGATCTGTTCGTTTGAATATGATCCGTAACTCCGACAGCGGCTTCTTTTATGTTTTTCACTTCGCCGACGAATGGAATGTCTCAGATGATCTGCTTATGCATTTTTCAAATCATAATCTATTTGTTGTAGTAAATTGATTAAGCCTATTAAAACCGGAAGTTTCTAATGACGATTTTAATTTGAAATTAATATTCATAAATGCCATAGATTTTATGATATTTTTATTTCGACTTAATTTGATTATGTATTCATATTATGATATTAAATATAATAGCAACTGCGATGAATAGTCCCAAAAGTGTTTGTGAATATTACAGATTATTGGCATTTAGTTCAGGTTTCGAGTTTTGGCGTATTCTACGACCTATATTGAAATTTTATGGCCAACATTGTTCAATTCAAACCACTTTCAGAACAACAATACAATATGTCCCATTGCTAACAAATCAGATACATTATAAAAAAAATAAATAAATTATGACACTTAAAATGCAAAATAGAAAAATTTAATGGAATTTTAAGAATGTTCAGGAAAAATTATAATTGGTAATGAAAATTCGGTATTTTATGTTCTTAATGGAAGCCGATCCCACTAGCAGTAAGTTATCCATACAGGTCTAATGGATTCGTAAATGATTTTAATTGGAACCGAGTTGTTCGGAATAGGCAAAATATACAGGTAATAATCCAAGGAATTGACCAACAAATTATGTAATCGCACTCCCCCAATTTCAGGTTTTTTTTTGTTATAAGTTTGATTTGGGCCAAAAATTATGTAACACCTTGAAATTTTGGTTTCCCACATAGAAAAGTATATATGGCGGTGGAATTATTGTCAGAATAGAAGCAGATGCAGACGAAAAATTTTCCTGATTTTGTTGTTGCTCTAGAGCCCAGAATTATAAACCAATTGACGCAGAAGTTAGCATGGCGCTAGAGCTAAGGGCATGACAGAAGCCTTACAATATTTAATCATCAACGGGTAATATTTGGTAGGTGAAATAGACCATAACATAAAAATCAAATTTTCCATTAAAACGCGAATTCTGGAGAAATCACAAATAGACGATAAGGTCAATTCTGACTGTTACATAGATGCCGATAGTAAATATATCGGATATATATATATAGCGAAATGTATACATAGTGTGTGTACAAAGGAAAGTGATGTTAGCTAGAAAGCTTAAATCTCAAGAATGGCTGGACCGATTTTGAAAAACTTTGTCAATTCAGAATGCCCTCTTGGCACAAGATAAAAAATCTAAAAAAAAAACATAAAAAAATGCCAACAATGATGTCAATATAGATTTTGTAGCGTTTTGTGATTTTTATACCCTCCACCAAAAAAGGTATGGAGGGTATATTAACTTTGTCATTCCGTTTGTAACTCATCGAAATAATCATTTTAGACCCAACAAAGTATATATATTCTTGATCAGCGTAAAATTCTAAGACGATTTAGCCCTGTCCGTCCGTCTGTCCGTCTGTTGTAATCACGCTACAGTCTAAACGAATTAAGATAGGAAGCTAAAATTTTGCACACATCTCTCTTTTGTCTGCAGGCAGGTCAAGTTCGAAGATGGGCTATATCGGTCCACAATATCGTATAGCCCCCATATAACGGTACCCCCCGATATTCGGTATTTTTATGATTTTACCCACATTTTTCAACGGAATTGTCTGAAAATCCACACAAGGAGTTCCTTGTGGGTACTTTATACCTCGGCAGAGAATTATCTATATAGGTCCACGATATCGTATAGCCCCCATGTAACGGTACCCCCCGATATTTGGTATTTTAATGATTTTGCCCACATTTTTCAGCGGAATTGTCTGAAAATCCACACAAGGAGTTCGTTGTGGGTACTTTATACCTCGGCAGAGAATTATCTATATAGGTTCACAATATCGTATAGCCCCCATATAACGGTACCCCCCGATATTCGGTATTTTGATGATTTTAGCCACATTTCTCAACGGAATTGTCTGAAAATCCACACAAGGAGTTCCTTGTGGGTACTTTATACCTCGGCAGAGAATTATCTATATAGGTCCACAATATCGTATAGCCCCCATATAACGATACCCCCCGATATTCGGTATTTTGATGATTTTACCCACATTTTTCAACGGAATTGTCTGAAAATCCACACAAGGAGTTCCTTGTGGGTACTTTATACCTCGGCAGAGAATTATCTATATAGGTCCATAATATCGTATAGCCTCCATATAACGGTACCCCCGATATTTGGTATTTTGATGATTTTACCCACACCTCCTCCTCCTCAAAATGAAGTGTCTATATAGGTCCACGATATCGTATATCCCCTATATAACTGTAACCTCCGATATTCGGTATTTTGATGATGTTAGCCACGCTTTTCAATGGAATTGTCTTAAAATCAATACAAGTAGTTCCTTGTGAGTACTTCACCCCCTGAGAGAGAATTGTCTATACAGGTCCACGATATCGTATATCCCCCATATAACGGTTCCTCCCGATATTCGGTATTTTATGATTTGACCCACATTTTTCATCGGAATTGTCTGAAAATCCACACAAGGAGTTCCTTGTGGGTACTTTATACCTCGGCAGGGAATTATCTATATAGATCCACGATATTGTATAGCCCTCATATAACGGTACCCCCGATATTCGGTATTTTGATGTTTTTAGCCATATTTTTCAACGGAATGGTCACAAGGGGTTTCATTGTACACAAGGGGTTCTTTGTGAGCACTTTACCCACCGACAGAGAATTCTCTATATAGGTTAACGATAAAGTATAGCTCCCATATAACGGTACCCCGCGATATTCGGTATTTTGATGATTTTAGCCACATTTTCCAATCGTATTTTCTGAAAATCCACACACGAAGTTCCTTGTGAGTACTTTACACGCAGACATAGATTTGTCTTTATAGGTCCACAATATCGTATATCCCCCCATATATCGGCACCTTCCTATATTAGATATTTTAAAGATTTTAAAAGAATTTTTATTGGATTTTATTTTTTTGAAAATTTTCTAATTCGTTTCAAATGGTGGAGGGTATTCAAAGTTCGGCCCGGCCGAACGTACTGCTTTTTTACTTGTTTTTTTTTCATATTTTTATCGTATGCGATTTTTTCAAATTTGACTTACAATATTGAAGTTTATATTTTATAATATTTTTTCACCTTACAACACAGGTTGGGGTAATTATATACAGATTGAAATAATCGTCCGTTTCTATTGCTTCTTAAGGTGTCCGCAATATATTTAGGGGTTGAAATGGACCAACAACTAAACATGTTCCTGATTTTGCAACGTTTATAAAGATCACAAATAGAAACCACGAAATCTCGCATGAAGTTAGAGTTTAGGGCAGCGAGTAGAATGGACCATGGTTTTGTGTGAAAAAATACCAAAGTCGAACTGGCTTTTTTTATTCTGATTTCGACGAATATAGCCAAATTTGAACGAATATAGCCAAATAACGCAGACAAGGTAATCATATAGCTGGTTCTAAATTTGAAGATACAGAGGCGCCTCTTGCTTTTGGAGACGATCGCAAAATATTTAGGGGTTTAAATGAACCAAAAACAGAAACATTTTCCTGATTACTGTGACATCATTTCAAAAGCGATATCTTCCAAAATGGATTTGGACATAAAGGGGCTTCTAACATATTGTAGTCTTGTAGGGTATCACATGGTCGGCTCCGCACGACTACAGCTTTTGCTTACTATTTTCAATTTGTTTTTCTTCTCGGTCAATTTTATATAATGTAAGATTCTTTTCAATTTGGCTTATCATATAGAATTCAATCGATTTTTTTTGTGAACAACATAAAGAATTATTTTCACCATATAAAAGAAAGTTATGTTAGTTATTACACTTATAACTCAAGAACGGCTTGACGGATATTAACAATTAATACAATTTCGGAATTTGGCCAATAAGAATGTATATAAAAATATCTTTTTGGGGTAAAACACTTCACTTCTCAATGGCGAAACACTTTTGAATTCTGAATGAATAATATCAAAAATGAAATGATTGCGCAATACGATGTTAAATGGTGATCTATCATGTCTACAACTGGCATCTAGCTTTCAATTCCAGGACCTACATCGTTCTCCAGCTGGAAGATGCGAACACATTTTAACAGACAAAAATGAACGACAAAGAGATATGGGGCTTTTTTCAAAACATGGACCTACTTCTTTCATAACAATCCGTCCAATGAGAACTCAAAATGCAAAACTTATTGGGACTGCAATCAGTGAAATACCAAATCTAATGGGCTCAAATTGGTAGAGCGAATTGGAAATCCAGAAATTCTTTCTAATCTTTCAAGATACCTTAACAGGCTTTTGCACATCATGATATGGATCATAACCCCCGTATAAGGGTACAAACTGATTTCGGGTACAATTTACATTTTAACCACATTTTTCACACTAATTGCGGCAAATGTTGGTAATTTAAGAAGAAAACAATTTTGCAAAAAAGTATCACTTTTTGGTTTGGTGTTACAGGTTATTGTCCACATAGGTATTTATTTAAGTTTAGTCCCCGCAATAAGTGTACCCAACAATATGTGTAAGTGGATTTAACCGCTTTCCTAACCAATATCTGGTCAGAAAATGTATTCTATTGACCAATGTCTGGTCAGAAAAGAAAATTATGTATTCTATTGAATTTGTAACCCTCAAGAGAATGTTGGTTGGGAACGTAGATTTGGGAAGTACGTTTATATAAAATAAACTCTGAAATGTCAAACTTGGACTCATTCAGTCGGAAATTGTGCCAGAAACATGAACAAATTACGAATATTAGAAAATAACACGGGACCGATGATGAAAAATATGGACTTTATGGGGTCTCCAACGCACAATATATATGACAAAAAAAAAATAATTGCCATCATAAGGTAATGGGAGTAAAAGAGTAATTATCTTTGGCTATTCTGAAATCAATTATGAGGTGGACAAAACTAAATACCACCCAGCACGGCATCCTAAACATTGGAAATACAAATTCCAAATTGTAGCACATTTGAATGGAAAACGTTGCTCTTCACAATGTCAATTATGGATGTTCTATATCATATAAGTTTTTAACACTCAAATTTAAGCCGTTGGCTGAAAAATAAGATCAGGCTATTCAAAATATCTAAAACCGACCGAAAACATGGGAGAATTGCCTCTATCATCGGGGACATACTTTACGTGCATTTGAAACCATTTCGGTGCGGCTTGTCGATAGTAGAAAGTTAATTTCTTCAAGTAAAATGTACAAACAATTTGCAGAAATGAAGCCGTCGCCAGTGGGTCTAAACATGCGTACGTACTTGAATTCGTTCGCAGAGAAAAATTGTATAAAGTGTATAAAAATTGCATATCACACATTCTAGGCGGTCAATTGACCGGTCTCAA